TCTATCTATTTGCCACCTATTTCTCTTCTGCCCGACACCTAAACGCTGGAATGCTTCAGGGCTCAATCTTGAGCTCTCTTCTCTTTCTATTCTGCATTCTTATCCAATTTGATATCATCATTTTTTGGGTGATAATTCCAAATATATACCTCTGATACATATATTCAACTCTGTAGTTTACATATCCAATTTTGATTGTCCATGGGCCGCTCAACCATAACGTGCTCAAGTCAAAAGTTGTGACGTTCCTCCCAAAGTGTTCCTTCGTCTGTCGGCACCACCTTACAAAAAGGCATTGCCATTTACCTGCTTGCTTATGAAAAAATTTTTAAAACAAGCTGTGAATCGCTTGATTATTACTCTCTCTTGCATCCAATATTTAGGAAACATCAGCTGTGTTTTCTACCAACAAACTAGATCTCTAATATGTTCTGCTTTGCGTCTCGTCAGCCATCACCCTATCCCAATCCCCACACTCACTCACCCTGCATAAGCTCCTGATCTTCTCTTCCTTACCACAAGCACAACATATGAAAAACACTTTTCAAAAAATCTAGATACAGTTATAGTCTTTCTTTCCTTAAGTCTTCTTTATGGCTTTTTATCAATCATAAAGTTAATCTAAATGCTGACATGCCTTGAAAATAACCTGAATAATCCTTTCTTTGCCTCTTATCCAGCATCAGTTCATAAAATTCTCCTACATCTTGAGTAGAATCTGCTCACCCTGATATTTCCCAAATATTGTTTTGTTGTCAGAGTTTTGCACATACTGTTCCCTTGGCGTGGAACACTCTAAATCCACTCAAGGTTCCCACAGATTCAAGTCCTACTCCACCTCCTGGAAAATAGTGGATCCCAAACATGAAAGAGAGTCATGTAATAATTGTCCACAGAACTTGTCAAAGTCAGAAAAGAAAGAGCTTTTGGGATCTGAAGAAATTAACACTCAAGGTAGAAGGTGTAAAAGCAGAAACTCAGGAGCAAAATAGCTGAGGAAAT